TGGTTTGATTCCCGGCATCATCATCATCCTTGCCTGCATACTGATTATCATCATTATGATCATATTATGTGTCCTGTACTGCAAGAGGAAAAAGAGTGAAACCTACCCAAGTGGTAAAGCATTTTACATCAACTTTTTTTTAAAAAATCGTTATTTTGCAAACGATTAACAAGTCTGTTAGCTGTCTCACACTCTTAATTATGCWGAATTACTGATTTTCATATATCTTTTTCTCTTTTTTTAACGCAGGTGCGGTAGAGAACGGAACATCTATGTAAGTAGAAACGTATATGCCTTTCGAGTCAGTTATTCTTGGGGTGCAAGCACAACTACTGCTTGGCTCAGTTGGTTGGGCGCCGGTTTGCTGTGCGCGAGGTCGTGGTTTCAAGTCTAGCTTTTTCAAGCCTAGCTTGGCCTAACCATTACTCAAGATCATCAAATATCTGGGTGGAAGGTGCTATCTTTGCTCTAAAAGTATCTGCAAACGGTTATAGACCTTCACCGTGGCTTGGATAACGCTAAGTAAAATGGCGCGGGTCTCATCTAACTTAGAGACGTTAAGCATAGAGGGCCACAAGTTTATCAGTGTTAAGTTGGGAACTGTCACGTGGCACGATTATCATAATTACTATCTTTACACAAAATTCCTTGAAATATAAATATGAATGAAACAACCGCCATGTTGGATGGTGTAACTAGAGAAGCTAATATGGAATAATTTATTATCGTCAACTAACGTGGCGGCTATAACTTAACATGTACCTGACCCAATATGTATTAATAACTGCAAATTGGGACTTTTCTTTACATTTACTATTCTTCCTTAAAGGCCTTTTTTATGAAAAATGTTACATATGGGAAGAGAAGGGCGAGTGCGAATAGATAATATCTGACCTGTTAGCATTTTGTTGAAATTGATAGGCAAACTTTTAACGTGAATGACCATAATGCAGCAGCAACTAATGCTTACGAGACAACTCAAGATGAAAAGCCGCCATATCGTAATGGTCAACCAGCGGAGACTTATCGTCCGGTAAGTAAATCAAAGCCCATTAAGTGCATGGATTGGAATGTCTGCATGCTAGCATGCATTTTATCAACTGTTATTTGAGATTTGTAATAATGTGTATAGAAAGAGCATGGAATCGAATGATAATGGAGCGCATGCAGTAAAACCATGAAATAAAAACAAAGTTGCTATTGACAAATATGAGTGCTCACACTAAATCCGTGAAACAAATACTAATTTTTAGCACTAAGTACTAGTGATAATTAAACAATAGAAAACAAAGGATTCTGTATGAAATAGTACTAATTAGTACTATTTAATGTTCACGGTTTTAGTGCGTGCATTTTAGTCGCAATTTAGTGACTTACAGTTGCTATTATTGAACCAGAACATTCATCATACAAAGACAAATACACAAGAGACATTTGTGTCTTTTGTTTAATAAATGTTCTGGTTGAGTGAGAGCAACTATTAGTCACTAAATAGCTACTGTTGTCAGTATCAACTTTGTTTTTATACTTCATGGTTTTACTGCATAAGCTCTAGAAGCTGATACTATACGGCACATTTCTTTAACACATGGCTGAAATGAGATAAATATATCTTTTGAAAGAGAATAACTTTCTTTTCGCCATCTTTTACTTACAAGAAGCATGGGCATGAATGGGACATACTGCATACTTTCTTCAAGTCTTTGATCATTATGCCACATATTGTTGAATGCTAATATCGCAAAAACAGCGTCAATCTAAATATTAAGACATGCTAAGCGAAAATAACAAAAACAAAGTAACATAAAAATAAATAAATTGATTAAATAAAAATAGAAAACTAACAGAAAAAACAATCAATAATTATCATCAGCATTCTAAAACATTGTCTTTACTGCAAACTGCATGCATTTGATAATCAAAAAACGATTCAAGATTGTCTCAAATCAAATTAGTATAATAATAATATTAAATGAACTAATAAGATAAAAATAGGGATAATTAAAACGGGAGAAAACACGCACTCACTGTCATATTACTAGGCATGAACACACCAAAAATAATATAAAATATAATAAATTGTGAAAATAATAAATGCATGCAATGATAAAAGTTTAAAAAAGTCTTAACTGGTTCGAAATCTGTAAATAATATGAATATGGTATAAAGCTTTATCTTATAAATATTTCAGATCCCAACTTGAAAGTCAATTATAAAACCACAAATTTAAACTCAAAGAAGGTAAGGAGTTGTTGAAGACAGGCCTCTAAAACCACGACTGAATAAAAATTCGACTTAAACCGTCCAATACTGAAGGTGTCGATAATACTGAAAAGAGAATAGCGCAACTTATCGCGCAACCTTGTTCTACTGCTATTGCGAGTTAGAGAGTAACTGTTAGTTGTATTACACACAAATCGTTTTCGCTGTTGCAAAGAGTAAAGATCATTTCTACTTCGCGCAACAATGACAAAAGTTATTGCCCGCGTAATGAGTAGTAATACCTTTACTCTGAAGCTTGCAACGGTACCATGTAGCGCGATTTTGGTGTTCGTATTACCGCACCTTAACACATTAATGAACCAATGTTGCCCCTTCTTGCAATCTTTATAACCTGCAAGAGGGTGTATTAACAATCAAGCTTAACGTTAACACAGAAACATATAAATTATGTAATAACGACGTTGTTAGAAAAAAATTTTACACCCATTTTGAATGTTTTGCGACCAAGCCAACTTAGTATTATATCTGCAGACCTTGCTTCAATATTTTGGCTTCGATTAATAAGAATTGTTTTACGAGAGTATAACAGATAAACACGGAGGTTTGTTTGCAATCTGGTTCTCAATAGACTTCTTTACCTTTACCTGAAATGGGCTATTGGCATAAGAAGGTAAAGAGATATATTTCTGCTAATTGGAATTTGGAAGTAGATTTTTGTGGAGGGAGGAAAACCGGAGAATCGGGAGAAAAACATGGAAACACGGGACAGAACCAACTCTTCTCACATATGCAATATAACATAAAGACAGGCAGAACATGAACTCGTGTCGCATGGGTGAGACGCGTCGCATTAACAGTGCAGGCTAACCGTGTTTCCCAAGAAGTCAGTGTAATGACTTAATATAGTACTCGTATTAGAATTTGTCTATAGGACGCAAGTAATAAAAAAATGGGTGTAATATTAGTCTTGGTCATGGTATTTTAAATATAATATTTTTACGTTTGCTCCCTAATCATCTCATAATTTAAAACCTTCGTACAATATGGCCCAGATACCGGAAACATGACCCAGAAGTAAACAGGGTTAGGGCTAGTGTTATTTGCTGTGGAGCGATCAAAATTTTCTAATTGAAAAAGTAAGAACAAAAATTCATAAATATTATCGATATCATAAACTTTTATTTTACTTCTTTTCGTTTGTATAACAGAATGAAAAAGAAGAAGTTGTTTACGCAGMTCTTAGTTTTAAGGCGTCTGGCCGGTACCCAAAGAAACAAGAGGCTAAAAAATTACAAGAAAAAACTGATACGATATATGCCKATATTGGTTCTTTTCAGCAAAGTTTTACCGATGGGAAGCCGAAGCAGGATGTCACCCTTGCACAAGAAGCCATAGCATTAGAAGAGAAAGTTCCAAGCGATGAGAAGCCGAATCAGGATGTCACCCTTGATCAGAAAGCCATAGAATTAGAAGAGAAAGTTCCAATCGATGAGAAGCCGAAACAGGATGTCACCCTTGAACAACAAGCCATAGAATTAGAAAACAAAGTTCCAAATGATGCAAACCCTGAACCCAAGAAAGAGACTGAAGGCGGAGATCAGAATGATGGTTCAAATCAAACTGATAATGATACAGGTGGGAAAAACGAGGTTCCTGAGAATGCACAGACTAACAATAATAGCACATCTCCCAAAGACAACCTAGTATAATGCTAAGTAAACTTAAGGGTTACTGCACAAAACACATAATTACTTTGAAATAAACTTATCCTAGAAATATTTCGATAAATTGCATGGAAATATTTCGGTTTCCTTTAAGTATATTGGTAAGGTAAAATGATGAAGTTTTTGATTTCCTTGTCTTATATTTCTTGTGTTATCTTATATCGGTAAATCGGAAATAGAACAAAAGTATTGAAAGCTGGAACTTTCTTTTCTTTTCAACTGAAAGAATAACTTGGGAAATATTGATATTTGAAAGTTTATTATATATTGAAAAATAAAACAAGAGAAATATCTACAGGGAGATTCAAAGAACTTTCTCTTGCACAAAAATAATTGTATTTGATATTCACGTATAATAGTTAATATAATCACTATCAAGGTATATGAAAGACTAAAGGCGTTTATAGACAAAGATACGCTCTCAATTACTGCGCTTTTCCACATTCTTCCACAAATTTGGGGCGGTTTCGCTGCCGTCATTAAAAATTTAAAAAAATAAAATAAAATAAAAATCAGCCGGCACCTTTCATGTTCTTGACTGGCGGCAGTAAATATCCAAATTCACAGCAAGCCGTTGAAATGTCTGAGTTTGCAGAATATCGAAAACCGCAGTAATAATTGCAAGATAATAGAAAGAATCGATGAAATTTGAAAGATAAATTACGCATGCTAAAAATGCTAAAACGAAAATAGATTCCTTATGAATGATGTTGATATGATCATTACCTTTACAGTGTACCTTGTCTGATTC